TACAGCAAAGTGATTCTGAGAATATACATATATGTATATATACATATTTTTAAATTAATTATTTTTGGCTGCGTTGGGTCTTCCTTGCTGCGCGCAGGCTTTCTCTAGTTGCGGCGAGTGGGGGCCTACTCTTCATTGCCGTGCACGGGCTTCTCATTGCGGTGGCCTCTTGTCGCAGAGCAGGGCTCTGGGCGTGCTGGCTTCAGTAGTTGTGGCTCATGGGCTCAGTAGTTGTGGCTCATGGGCTCAGTAGTTGTGGCTCGCAGGCTCTAGAGTGCAGGCTTAGTAGCTGTGGCTCACGGGCTTAGTTGCCCCACGGCATGGGGGATCTTCCTGGAGCAGGGCTCAAACCCGTGTCCCCTGCATTGGCAGGCACATTCTTAACCACTGCGCCACCAGGGGAGTCCCTATGTATGTATTCTTTTCCATTATGGTTTATCACAGGATATTGAATATAGTTCCTTGTCCCTACAAGTTCCCAGTAGGACTTGTAGTTTATCCATTCTATGTATAATAGTTTGCACCTGCTAATCCCAAACTCCCAATCCATCCCCCATTCCCCCCCCCCCTTCTTGGCAACCACAAGTCTGTTCTCTATGTCTGTGAGTCTGTTTTTGTTTTGTAGATAAGTTCATTTGTGTCATATTTTAGATTCCACATATAAATGATATCATATGGTATTTGTCTTTCTCTTTCTGACTTACTTCACTCAGTATGATAATCTCTAGGTCCATCCACGTTGCTGCAAACGGCATTGTTTCATTCTTTTTCATGACTGAGTAATATTCCATTATATATATATATTTACCACATCTTCTTTATCCATTCTTCTGTCAACGGATATTCAGATCGCTTCCATGTCTTGACTACTGTAAACAATGCTGCAATGAACACTGGGTATATCTTTTCATGTATCTTTTCAAATTATAGTTTTTTCTGGGTATATGCCCAGGAGTGGGATTGCTGGATCATAATGTAGTTCTATTTTTAGTTTTTTGAGGAACCTCCATACTGTTTTCCATAGTGGCTGCACCAATTTACATCCCCACCAATGGTGTAGGAGGGTTCCCTTTTCTCCACACCCTCATTAGCATTTGTTATTTGTAGATTTTTAAATGATGGCTGGCATAACCAGTCAAGTTTAGAACATTCCCATGATCCCAAGGTGCTCGGGTTTTCTCCTGAGGACGATGGGGGCCAAGAGAGAGTTCTGAGTAGGGGAAGGAGGGGACCCTTACAGCTCCTGGGAGGCAGGATGGATTGCAGGGGCAAAGGGGGGAGCTGGGAGACCCTGAGGAAGCCGGGACCACCTCTAGCTTCTCAGCCTGTCCCCTGGTGGTGAGGGTCTGTAGGGTCTGCCGCCTCTCATTTTACTCAGTGAGGGTGACCAAGGTCTTCTGCTGTTATGGGCTCAAGGCTGCCCACGGAACAAAAAAGTGTGTTGAAGTCCTAACCCCCAGAACCTTAGAACGTGCCCTTATTTGGAAATAGGGTTTCTGCAGGTGCAATTAGTAACGATGAGGTCGTGCTGCAGGAGGGTGAATCCCTAAAGCAACGTGACTGGTGTCCACGTCTTATGACAGCCATGTGAAGGACACAAGGGAGACATCTGTGACAACAGAGGCAGAGACTGAAGTCCTGCTGCTACAAGCCAAGGGACACCAAGGACTGCCGGCAGCTACAAAAACCCAGGGAGAGGCAAGGAAAGACCCTCTCTTCTATGCTACAGGAGTATAGCCCTGCCAACACCTCGATTCTGTACTTCCGGCCTTCAGAACTGTATGAAAATAAACGTCTGTTGCTCTAAGCTACCCAGTTTGGGACACTTTGTTAAGGCAGCCTGGGAAACTAATATGTCCGGGGAGGAGCAGGACATCACGTTGGCATCCGGGCCTTGGGGCCATGGAGAGGGTGTGAATGGGGGCTCCGGATGCGGGAGGAGGACGAAGCTTTTCAACTGAGCAGAGGTGATGAGAGCGTGGCCCGTGTATTCCGAGAAAAAACTTTAACTGGTTTCCAGAAGGCATCCTGGGGATGGGGTGGGATGCAGGTGGGATCCTTCCAGCAGCATCCTCTCCCGGGGCACTGAGGGAGAGCCATAGCTGCTCAGCAGAGCGGGCAGGCGCTTTCCTCCCCAGGAGTCTAGCCTCCCCAGTCCCTAGGCCGGGCTGGGGGGAAAGATCAGAGGAGACCAACCTGGCATTGGCGGTGGGGAGACAGGAGCTACCAGACCTTCCTGTTTTGGGAATAGGGGGTGGGCAACCAGACCAGGGGACAGTGAGTAGAGCAAGGGTGGCCGGGAGAGAGAGGCCAGCCGGTGGTGCCTCAGGGGTCCTCGGGCCCAGCTTCCCGTCCTCCCACCACCTGCGGATGGCAACTGCCTTTCTGGCAGATATCGGTGGGTAAGCTGGGTAGCTTCAGGCCTCACCTCGGCTGCCCTATGGCCCTGTCCTCTCCCTATGGGACCCAGCCAGCCCAAGCTCCCCACTGTGGGGGCGCTGCTTTGGCCGACTGCTGCACCCCACCTGAGAGTCCTTGGGGCCCAGTGAGTCCTGCTGGGCCAACAATGTCCGAACCCAGGTCACCCTGCCTCCTACCCCCCACGGCAGCCCCGGCCTCACACTGCAAAACGATTATCTGGATCATCTTTATGGGGCTTAAGCTTGGGTGGGAGCAGATGGGGCGTGAGCTGGGGATTTGGGGCTGGGTATCCACTCCCCACCACGTCCCAGTCTCTTAAAAAGCCTTCTCTGGCACGGGGCCAGGGCAGAGGCCAGTGGAGAGGTGGACAGGACCCAGGGGAGGGGAGCAGGGACAATGATGGACCAGGAAGAGGAGGATGGGGGTTCGGCCTCCTGCGACAAGGTGAGCAGGTCCCGCCCCCCCCCCACCGCCAACTCAAGGACCCGTGAATGACAAGGCTAATGAGTTTGTAGGGGACCTAATTAGCAAGTGAGTCTCCTGGGACCCCCGACCCAGTTGCCGCCCAAGAAGGTGCTGGTGGGCGGGAGGGTCCGAGTGCCTAACCCAGCCCCAGGGCAGAGGTCAGGGCTCTTAGTGCTGACCCCCTGTGAGGTGAGGGATGCTGGGACTTAGGAGCTGTCAGGGGGACGTTCCCCTGGCTCATGTCCCAGCCCCCAGGCCACCCCGCAGTCAGGCCCCAATCTAGGACGGTGGCCCTCTCCCTTGGGGCAGCACCACGTGACATGGCACTGCTGGTAGGGGCCCTGGGGCGGGGGCCGGGATTGAGAAGGAGACTCATGTCTCATTTGGAGCAGCTCTGCAGAGCAGCACGTCGGCGGGCACCATGGTGAGAGCCACAGAAGGGGCAGGGCAGGCCTGGGGGTCGGGGGGAAGCTGGCTGGCCAGGAGGGGAGTTGAGGGCTCTTCCAGCCGAGGGGCCGGCCAGACTGAGTGTGTCTGTCCCCCAGGCGGGCTCCCCAGACCAGGAGGGCTTCTTCAACCTGCTGAGCCACGTGCAGGGCGGCCGGATGGAGGAGCAGCGCTGCTCACTGCAGGCGGGGCCGGGCCCAGCCTCCCAGGGCCGTGAGAGCGGGCAGGGAGGTGTGCGGAAGTGGGCGTGATGGGGGGGCGTGAATGGGGCAAGTGGCCATCTGGGGGACCAGTGGGCAAGGGTCTGAGAAAGTGAGCAGGCAAGTGGGGACAGAGATGCCTGTGGGTTGGGGGCAGATGTGAGCATGCTTCCTGGAGAATGTGAGTGGGGGTGGAGGGTTGGGTTGGGGGCCTCCAGCTGGGCTGAGTTCTTCCCCACGGCCTCTGCTTCATGCAGAGAGTGGCCCTGCACCCGAGATGGACAGTCTCATGGACATGCTGGCCAGTACCCAGGGCCGCCGCATGGATGACCAGCGTGTGACAGTCAGCGCCTTGCCTGGCTTCCAGCCTGTGGGCCCCAAGGTAGGTGATGTTCTGCCAGGGCTGAGGAGAGACCAGCCACACTGATTCCTCTAACCCTGCCTCCCACCCCCACCCCTGTCCATCATCTGCTCCTGGGGATGAGCACCTGGTAGGAGCACCCACCCTGCGTACTTGCCAGTTACAAGACCCTGGCCAATCCAACACCCCAGTTCAGAGGTAGGACAAAGGCCCAGACAGGGCTGAGAAGAGATCAAGGTCATGCAGGGGGCGTATTAAAGTCAGAGCTGTGGCCAGAACTTGTGGCTCCCGCTCTCAAGTCTGAGAACTTCAAGGAGGCGAGAGAGAATAGACCCGCTCCTGGGAAGACACCTTGAGGGTGGAGAGCATGCGAGCTCATGCCCAGGACACATCCAGACACCCATGTGTCCATGTGTCCACGTACTCACCCACAGCTTAGCTTCTGATCAAGATCCCAGGGACGTCCCCAAGACCCACCAGCTCCCAAATACCACCCTAAATGTTGAGTAACTGAGAAGTGGAGAAGCTCAGGGATGGTGGGGGCAGATGGGGGGAGGTGGGACTCCGGTTGCCACCTGCACCGGCCAGCACTGCCCTTGGCCCTCTGGCTGACCCCTCTGCATCCACAGGATGGAGTACAGAAACGAGCCGGGACCCTCAGCCCCCAACCCCTCCTCACCCCTCAGGACCCGACTGCACTCAGCTTCCGTCGAAACAGCAGCCCCCAGCCCCAGACACAAGCCCCGTGAGGGCCTGAGGCGTCCTGGGCCCCACTTGGCCCCCCAAAGCAGACAATAAAACACTTCCACGAGCAACAAAGAACCGTGTATGTGTGTCATTCTGTGGGTGGAGAGGCAGGGGTTCACGCACTTGGAGTCCTCAGGACCTCTGCTGGGCAGCACGAAGGAGCTTTTCCTCCCGCTGCTTCCGTATCCTTTCTTTGAATTCTTCTAGCTCTTGGCGCTGGGTAAAGGCGTGGGATGGAAAGGAAGGAGGGGCGTACACACCTCAGGGCCTGGACCTCTTTCTCAGCACCCCTCCCTTTAATCCCCCGGACCACCACTTCACAGTTCACTGACTACACTGGAAGCCTGTGCCAATTATAACCTAGGTCCAAGTGGGATTAGCTTCAACCTTCAGGGAGAGGGCAGTAAGGAAGTCTCGTGTCCCTCCACTCTCGGTTCCCTGCCCATGACTGTGGGTCCCATTATGGCCACAGGAACCCACGCTCCTCCCTCTGGTGGGAGGAAAAGGAGGTTGCTTACCTTGTCTTCCTTCTCAGGGGGCCACAGCTCCCTCTGTAGGAACAAAGTCACAGCTGGATACACAAGACAGGAGCCTCCAGAGCCCCACACCCAGGGCAGGGTTGGCTCAGGGGAGGCAGACACTGGTCCCCATCAGGTTGGTGCCCCATACCCTCCCCCACCCCCGGAATGAACCTGTGCCCACCTTGCGCTGTATGACATAGTCCTCAAACCACTCGGCCTGATTGGCAATCCAGAACATAGCCACAGGGAAGGTGAGGTAGATGGTCATCTGGAAGGGCAGGGGCGAGATAAGAAGAGCCAGGAGTCACCCCCACCACCCCCAAACTGTGCAAAGGCTGCTTAAAGCCTGGAGGACCATCCCCTGACAGAGACCAGTGGTGCTTCCCCAGCGCCCCCAGAACCCCAAAACTCCCATCAAGGGTACAGAAGCCATACACCTTAAAGTCTAGCCTCCATAATCCAAGAGCCCCCTCCGAGTCCGGGTGACTCCCACTCAAAGAAAGAAACACACACTCACACACACGCGCGCGCACGCCCACACAGTCGCCCCAGGAACAGAAAAGCTCGTACTACAGTATAAGCATCTCTTTGAGACCTCATTATCCCACCCCCAGTTAGATCCCGGAGCACACCAAGACCCAGGCCTCATTCTTCAGAGTCTACTCCCCTAACTCTAGGAGTATGCCTACGAGAAAGACGCACACCCACTATGACCCCGAGAGCTCCCCCAGAACCTGAAGCCTTCCTTCTTGGAGCCCCCTCCCCAGATCACCCTTCTCAGAAAGCTTTCCTCACACCAGCCCTCCCAGAGCCCCGAACCCTGTGCCCCCTTCTCTGGGGTTCCAACCGCAAAGGTCCCTCTCAAATCTCAGGAGCTTTCGCTCCAGAGCGCCCTCTCTCAGAGGGCCCCCTTTTCAGAGCCTCCTTCTCAACCAGGAAGACCCCGCGCCCAGGCCTGCAACCGCTCCATTGCTCACTGACCCGAAACACCTCCAGCTTCACCCCCATCTCGCTCTTCTGAGGCTTCAAAGCCGCTTCCGCCCAAAGCCAACCATCCAGCAAGACAGCAGCTCATTGGGAGTCCGAGGGTCCCACTGCTGAAC